TTATCTCCTCCTTCAACGAGGTCAAAGGCGTCAAGGACGGCGGCACAGAGGGCGGTGAGGTGGGCGACTTGGCTGCGAGGATGAGGAGATCGACATCGACAAGTGGAGGAGTGTCTTCCCCGACTACGAAGACGACAACACCGGCCTGGACCCAAATCGCAACACACCGTACCTGGCGAGGAAGGATTGGATCGACCTCACATTCGACCGAAAGTAGTTTAGTTAAGCTTAGTTTAGTTTAAATTTGTGTTTTTATGTTCGGTTGTGCAAAACTATATATGTTTATATTTGAATGCACGCTAAATTCGGTTAAAATTGCTTTGAATTCGATCAAATTGAAGTTTACTCCGTTAAGTTTAGATGATCGGCTAGAAATGGCAAAATATAGTGGAGTATATATATTCCAGTAAGGGTTTTACTCCGTTAACTTATAGGGGATCGGCTAGAGATGCCCTTAAGGCACAAAAAGCAGAGAAGTTAGGTAATGCATCAAACTTCTTCTTAGATATGATATCACCACTTCTCGAGGAACGAGACCCTCAAGCATATAGTGACAACTGAGTAATATCAGTTATAATGGAACCATATCTATTTATGTCTCTCAACTTCTTCGGGTCGCTAACTTTATTTTGCTTTCACGACAATGGCTATAAGAGATCTCTTACACGAAAATATTAAAATGATCATGTTTTGATTGACACAAACTAACTACAAAGGAAACTGACAAGTATTACTGCGATTATTGTGATATATATCAAGAAATTATAACATGTGCTAACTACATTCTACTAATTTGAACAAGAACTTTCATATTACATATACTCTGCACTAATAACAGTGGTATGGAAAAATTTCTGAACTCATTGGATGGAAAATCTGAGAAGCGTCAAGTAAACCATTGGATGGAACATAGCGGTCGAACCCGACTGCACAGCTCTCGACCCAGTGCCATAAACAGGAGACCACGCCAATCAGGGAAACAGATCTCTCATATTCTCCAGTAACCTCCCGGCCCGGTTACCGCATTGCCTCGCGTCCTCACTTCGAGGGGGCACAGAATTCGCGGTAGGAACGCGTGCCCCAGCCTCGGTCCGATCGGGCCTCCAAGAGTATCTCCTTCCCACTTTTAATGATGCACGGGTAGGCCACTCTATGGATTTGGTGCAGGATCTAGCAACGAATTGTAGATGAATCCATGGATCAACGAACGAACGGAGAAAAAGGAACGGGAGGAGAATGAGAATGGGAAGAGGGATGAATAGTACTATAGCTGTATGGAGAAAAAGTCAACATACCCCCCCCCCAGCGAAATTTCATCCGTAGGCTAGTTAACCCCCTCGGCTGTAAAATAGGATATCTAGCCCCCTAAACTTTACAAATCCGGACAAATCACCCCCAAGTCTATTTTAGGTGGTTTCTCAAAACAGGTTTTTATCCCGCTTTATAAATGAAGCAATCAACCGTTCTAACATCGAGTTGCAACATACCGACATAGATAGTCTGTTGCGGCCACATCACAAGCACGCCCAGAAAACATAAGAGAAAGCATAAACAAGACCACCAAGTGGCCAGCCCATCAAGTGGACGCCGGCAAAGCTAGTCCACGCGCCGAGGCCTGCAGCGCATCCAGCATCCGTGCTTGGCGCACCTGGTCCTGTTGCCTAGCCAGCTGGGGTCAATGCTACAAGAATGCAACACGTGGGGTGGGGCCCCATGTGTTGACTACACATGGGGCCGCCCATACTAGTGATGTCATGGAGCGGTCTTGTCTAGAGTACATAGGTTGTATTCTATTACTCTGTACTTAGTATAAAACCAATGAAACGCTCTCAGTAGAGAGTAGCAAAAAGAGAGAAAGCCTCCCAGACCATATCTCAGACACATTGCTCCTCCTCAATTACTCGGACACCGAGGTTCTTCCACAAGCTCATTCCGGCGGCCGGCAGAAAGATTGGGTTGGGCTAACAACCGCCACCAACTTCTGTGAAGATAGTGCTAGACATTAGTACGTTAAAACAGAAAACAAATAGTGGTAAACAAATAGTCCATGATTGATCTAGCCATCACAGTCAATTTGTTTCTAAAATTCCCGTGATTTTGTTGACATATTAGATAATGGTTACATTGTTCCCAAGTAAAAGAGACTTTGTGTAATCCAGTAACACAATTGGGGCGGGGGATATCAACTCCCTTTGATAGCTTTGTGCTAGTTGACATGTAAACATCACATGCATCATGGTTTTGTTTCTTCACCTGCCACACCAGGGATTCGTTATGTGTTGATTAAAAATTAGCTCGGTGACATGCCCACGAATAGTACTGCACACACACCTATCAATCATTATCTGCTTACATTCACACCCTTCTCGATTGTGCAACTGATCCTTCTGTTCTACTCCCTTCGTTCGGAATTACCTGTCACAAAAATGGATGTATCTACAACCAAAATACATCTAGATACATTCATTTCTTCGACGAATAATTCCGAACCGAGGGAGTAACATGTTTACCACTCTTTGTGATGATGTCTAGCACTATCTTTTTGGCTGGAAGCTGCTCTGGACTTCAATTTGATACTGTCGGGCCAAAGGTCTTGGCAAAACAGTGCCGGTTCCACACTGTTTGCTATGGCTGTTGTCTAAAAACTCAATTTTTGGGTAATATGTGTTTCATCTGTATTTCAGTTTCAACCAGCAGCTGGATAAAAACAGTACACAGAGAGAAATGATGTTCAGCTAAAAAGGAATTTATCAGCTGTTTATGAGTTATGACCAAGTTGAGCAGAATATTTAATAAGAGTGGTAAGTGCTTATCTTTGAGTATAATAGTGAACTCAACTAATATAGTGATACATTTGCCCACAGTCCAAACGTTCAGAGCTGAATTTATGTAATTTGGATTTCTTTTTTTTATCACAAATCATTGCAATAAAAAACTGCAAAAATGTACAGTATAATTTGGTCACTTCAACATTGCTCCTAGCTAGAATGTCAACGAGCATTATGTCTGTCTCTATTCTTCACAAGAAAGTAAGGAACCACAGGTGAGTGAGAAATGGTGTTGGAATTAAAGGCTGGTGCTGTGGTGCACTAGCCTCGCCGATGATAACGTTCTTCGAAATTGTCCTTGGTACCTGTTTCAGTTTATCAAATTTTATTAGAAAATTACTGCTTTTGTGGGAGGTACTGGCCTGGCAAGGGTGCTGGCGCCCAACAGACTTAATCTGATCTTTAACTGTAAGCCACCTTACTGAGAATAGCCCAGTAGGTAATGCCACTGTAAATGATGTTATTCATTATCTAAGAAGAAAATGTGCTGGTTTGTTGGATATGATAAAACATACAAGTCTATTGTACAGTAATTGAGATATGTGATACATTTAGTTCAATAGTAATACATAAACACAACCGTTTGTCATGTGTCGGAAATACAACAAGAGTTACATTACACAGAGTTCTGAAACAAAATTAGATTGACACTCCTCGTCGCTTCCTCCTTGGCAAGGCACTACCTTCCAACTTGCTACCTTCATATGTTTCCGGAGCATGACTTGTAACATAATGAGTGAATGATTTATGAGGCGCTATCCTTGATTTCCATGCAATTAAGGTGAAGTCTCCTTCTGGTCTGATACTAGGATTTGCTAGAAGTTCCGCTAATGCAACACTTGGTGGTTCCTCCTTGATTGAAACATTAACTAGTGGTTCCCCCAATGTCATGCTAAGTGGATGCAAAGCAAAGTCAGAAATGTCCACTAGATGGCCTTGTTCTATAAGAATGCCTGGGTGCACACCATATATAGAGAGGTTCCTTTTAAAGTATCTTATACCCTTGTTCAATACGCTACGCCAAAACTGAACATGGAGATTCCTTCTCAGGACATCCGCGAACACATTTATTTCGACGAGTGAACCTCGCACATCGTGCACCACCTTGACAAATTCATCTGCTATTTGTACTAGCTGTGGATGTTCCGCGGGGTCTACGCTCCCGAATGCCATTGCCTTGAAAAGGTACCTCATCTCATCATAAGATAGAACCTTAAGGAAAATTGGTTTCACTGATCCAAACCGGGCTAATATTTTAAGTTTACTTATGATTATGATCTTACTCCCTCTGTCCATGCTTATGAGAAACGATTGAAACTTTTTCCAGTCATCATCGCAGACATCAGAAGCAAACTCAATAACAACCAACATTGTCAACCCAAACATGGTCTTTCCATGGTCAAATATTCTCAATAGGCTGTCTCCATTCAAGTGCAAAACAGAAGAGAAGCGTGAACGAACCCTTTCGTCGCCACATGCATGAGCAACCAAAGACTTCTTCCAAGTTTGGCACCACCTATGATAGGAATAACGATCGGTGCATCACCAGGAGGGTTTTGCTGCAACAAGAAGCTCAAAAGATATTGTTTTTCAGCGTGTCGGCCGAACATGAAGTTGTCGGTGTAAAGATAAATGTTGTATGGCCTGCGAAACATGCGCTCGCATCCACCCAGAAGCACGACAAATTCTGCCATATTAGCAACAGCGACTTCTAATCTTTCCAAGGCACCATATGGCTCATGGCGCATGGCCTTGCCATCTTTCCGAGTTATTGTTCGAGAGCGCTTGAAAGGAATGGTGAAATATAAGCTGCTGCTAGATGTGTCGTTGATGCTAACCTCGTCGAAGCCTGCACTGTCTTGGAGGGTATGGTACCTCAAGGTATCCATCACGCTGTATCCTCTATACATGGCCTCTGAGAGCATCTTGAGCTGCATCAACATCCCAGAGTTGGTTATGTATCGTGTGTCCGCCTCCTCGACGATGGTGCAAGCTCTCATCAGAAGATGCTGCAACCTCTCCACCATCTTCTCTGACTGTGTATGGCTAGAGTAGTGGTACTTGTTCATCAGGAAGGAGATGAACCGGCTTAGGAGTTCGCCTGCAACTGCAGACATGGCAGCCTCCATGGCTGGGATTGATGAGGTCGTTCTGTCCAGACAAATTTAACTGGGCCTCTGCCAAATCTTGCAGAGATTCTTGGCAAAATAGAAAAGTCTCTAGAGATGACTTCGATTCAGACGAGGGTGGCTGACATGTGACAATGACATGCCAACTATCCAAGCAGCATCAAACAGTTGGCAAGCACAGCGACTCTTTCTACAGTAAGTAGGTCCAGACTAGTTATTGCCTTTCCTTGGACTCTTTCTACAGTTATATCTTAAGCGTGAGAATGACAAGCCAACTGCCCAAGAAACATGAAAATATATTTTAAATTTTCACAGACCGACATGTGCATTTAACTTATTTTGGTGTTTGTCTTTCATTGGACTCGTTTTATATTTTATATTTTGAAATATATTCAGTATATGTGCACTCAACTCTAGCATAGTTTGACCGTGGAAACTGATTGGGCTTTTGCAGATGAACTTGAGTGGAGAAAAGCCGAGCGCAACTCAGGAAGGCAACGATGTGTGCCCTTTTTTCTTGGTCAGTGATGATGGGAATCACAACGCCATGGTTCAGCAATCTTTCAGGAAACATGTATGTAACCTATGTACTCCTTTGGTTGGTTTCTTCAGAACCTAATCAGTCTATGTGGCATATGTTTGTGTTAGTTCTGTATTTAATCGGAGACTGGCACATCTTATGCATTCTACAGGGTTCAGGCTTGACCTGATGTTTATCTCCAATATGGCAAAAACGGAAAAGGAAAATTGTACTCCCTCCGTCCCAAATTAAGTGACTCGACTTTGCACTCACTTTAGTACAATGTTAGTGCAAAGTTGAGTCACTTATTTTGGGACGGAGGAAGTATGACACAACTTGTATGACGACGAAACTAGGAGTTATCTGCGTACATGAAACTGTTTTTGTCCCCCGTAATGGTTGGGATGAGAGCAATTACCCAAGCATCAGGCATTTTTAGGTTTACCAAAAGCGCTTCACTTGCAGACAAGCTACTAACGGAGGAGTTGCAGGTCGTATCCGGGTGCTATACATGGCCAGTCAGTGGACGGGCATGGTATGGCTTCTTTTGGGCTCAGAGACAGAATCTCGTGCACCCCACCATATTTTTTTGTTTGTTTGGACTTTAAGGTCTGAAAATCCTAACAGTGGCATATTCCTGTTCAAAGTGCTAATTTAATCATTTTCAAAATATATCACTATGCATGTTTTTGTTGTACTAAAATCTTATATGGTACGTAGGTTTTTCAGGGTTTTAACAGACTTTAAAAGGACAAAAAAATTTCGAAGCCCCTTCTCAACCTTCTCCTATTTTGTGTGTGTGCAGGGATCAACATTCCTTCATCAAGAATATTTTTGAATGACCTACAGACGACTCAGATGGTCATGTGTCCTTTGCAAGCATGCACAGTACGTCCCATGATGTGCTTGCTCATGGCATCCTGATGGAGCCGGTGAAGATTAGTGCCGATGGATGCACTATGAAAACCAGTAGGCGCGGAGATATAAGCATGACATTACACTATATTTAAAGTTCTTTGTGAATCCTTAGCCGTGGTCATAGCCGCACTATAGTCCAATAGGCCGCGGCACTTCGTAGGTGAAACAAAAGAGAGTAATGCCTGTTAATGAGCGCGCACAAGAGCTTGCGAGCTTTAAAAAAGCCGAGCTGAGCAGGGTTTTTCCCTTGTTTTTCGATAAAGGGCATTTCATTGAATTGAGTTATCGAGGTGATACAGTCGCATCAAAAGAACGCCCGGCCTCTGCATAACCAGATGCACACAGCCAACAAATCCAAGGTCCGAAAAAAAACAGAGCTAAAAAGAATCATAAATCCAGCCTAAGACGTGGCAGATCCTATCCGAAGATCACACCGCCATCCATGGGGGTAGAAAACCTCCCTAGCCGAACGCTCCAGCCGCGTAGACGCCATCATAAAAAGGTCTCTGTCCTCCGGCTTCTGCAGGATAGACCAAGTACGGAGCCATCACGTACATATATGAATAACCTGCATGGGAGATGAAACACATTATTTACTAAAAACCACATTATTCCTGGTAAGCCACAATGCCCAGCATAAGGCAGTCGCCCCCACAAGAATGTGTGCAGAAAATTATTTTTGAATTCCCCTCAACCAGTTACCGAACATATTACGTGCACTTCGTGGGGGGTATAGATTTGAAGCAATCTGAACTATGGCCCAAACTGACCGAGCAAACTTATACTCAAAAAATAAGTGCGTAATAGACTCGTCATGTTGGCAGAAAACACATTTTGTACTATCCTGTCAGTTGCGTCATGCCAAATTATCTCGAGTTAAGATGACCCCTTTATTTAGAAACCAGAGGAATATCCTCACTCTTAGAGGTATTTTGAGCTTCCACAATTTCCTGTTATCAACCGGAACCTCGCTGTGAACAAGTGCATCGTACATGGACTTGACTGAAAACTTGGCATTTTGATGCAATCTCCATCAAAAAATGTCCGGTTCACCTGACAGCTGAATGACCTCCAATCTATGAGTTTCATTCCATGCTGCCAGTCGAGGTCCAAAAAGATCCCTGCAGAAAGAAATATCTGGGTTTTCTTGTCCCAAAACTTGTTTGATCGTGACAAATTTATGTCTGACAATTCTGTACAAGCTGGGATATTGCACATTGTGAGGGGTGGTACCTAGC